TTTTTTTTTTTTTTTTTTTTTTTTTGGTACTGGGGATTGAACACAGGACTTTGCACTTGTGAGGCAGGTGGCAGCACCATTGAGCTAAATCCCTGGCCTTAGAAATCATTTGTGGTGTTCTCAGGAATAAAAGTCCTAGTGCTACTCCATAGTTCCCTAGAGAAAATGAAGATACCCATAACAGAGAGTTGATTTTATTGTGATACAACAATAAAATGGCCTGTATAACTGAAAGCACACTCTGATTTTATGCAGCTGTCCTTAAGATTTTCTGGAAGGCCAGGGATTTAGCTCAGTGGTTCCACCGCCTGCCTCACAAGTGCAAGGTCCCAAATTTGATCCCTGGTACAAAAAAAAAAGGATTGTCTGGAGTAATTTTGTCCAGGTTAACATTTACAGCGGCTTTCCTTGCCATTTTCTGGATTAGTGGCAAATATAAGCAAAAGTCTTCTGTAATAGCTTAGAGACATATAACTGGTAAAGCCATCTTCCTCTTGATTGATAAGAGATAGTCTTATTAAAAAATGCATTTCTAGCGTTAGTAAATTATGTGCCTTCTTCCCCCAGATGGTAATTTACATTGGTTTACAAGAGAAGGAAACTAAGTATTTGCTTGATATACCTTTCTGGCAACTAACCTTGTTCCACAAAAGTATTGGTATTCTTTAACTTGGTCACTATGTTTCTTAGTTCAAGTCTACTGCACGACTGGACCTGCTTTCCTCTTACTGGCTTGTTTTACATCAACTTAATAAGCTTTGTGACTGTTGTTTAGGTTCTAATGTTTTAGGATGCTGACTACTGAATAGACAGGACAAGACGACATTGGACTCTAGGTAAACTCAGCCTCAGAAGCACTCCTTCTAAATCCTTGCTATTGTTCAGATTTGGCGAGAAGAATTTTTATGGCACTGACTCCACTTGTCTGTCCCATCCTCTCCGGTGTGGGTCATGTTCTGACTCTTACCAGGAAAAGTTATCTTTGCATTTAGGTCAAGGGACAAGGCTGCAGCTGGTTAATTGGCAATGCTTTCAGAAGAGAAGGAAATGCGTTCAAAAGGGGAAAGTTGTGAGCATCAAAGAGTCACCCATGTGTAAACCCTCCCTAAAATAAGCAGAACTAGAGGCTACAAAAGAGGTTCTTAAGGGCTGCGATTTAGCTTAGTGGTTCTGGTGCCCGCTTCACAAGCACAAGGACCTGAGTTTGATCCCAGTACCAAAAACAAACAAACAAAAAAGAGGTTCTTATGCATGATTGCCTAAAAGCAAAAGCCCTTCTAGCAGGTATAATGGCTAGATATCCCCTGACTTTGGGCTTCTTTTGTGTGTGACCTCACAGTCTTTAGTGATAGCTTTTCAGCCTCAGGCATCTGGCTTTCTTTTGCTTTGCTGCAGCTACCTTTGATGGAATCTGTGTGCCAAGCCAACATGAGACTGCCTGGCAGATGACGTGGCACCTCAGTGCCCTCAAGATTGAGGGCTGGACTAAAGTGTTTGCGGGGGGGTTGTGACCAGCACCACAAAATGAAACTTTTCTTTTGAGACAGGGTCTCACTATGTAGTTGACACTAATCTGACACTCACTGTGTAGCCCAGGCTGGTCTCGAACTCACAGCGATCTTCCTGCCTCAGCCTCCCAAGTGCTACACTAATCTGACTCACTGTGTAGCCCAGGCTGGTCTCGAACTCACAGCGATCTTCCTGCCTCAGCCTCCCAAGTGCTGGGATTACAGGTGTGCGCCACCATGCCTGGCTCACAGAATGAAATTTTAAAAGTCTTTTCTTTTAGAGATAAGTAGGTGGCTTCTCCAAACTTTTAGGCCTAGGGCATACTGGTACCCCCACCTCCCCTCAGCCCACATGAATGGACAGAAAATGCAGATGCTGGCAGCAGGAGGTCATACTTGAGTTTCATTTCCTTGGGCAAGGGATAGAGAGGTTTGGGGTCCAAGAGGGGATGAAACAAGGGTGAACGGATCTGTTGTCTCACTATACTCCTTCCCTGCTGTTCTTCACTCTAAAAGTCCCCAATACACTTGTACACGGGGAGATGGTGATTAGAGGCAAATGGCCCCTCTATCTCCTTGGATCTAGCTCTGGATAAATCTTTTTTTCTAATAACAAAAATTTTTTTGTACTGACTTAGCATTATAATTGTTAGTAGTATACAATTGAGTAAAATAGCATAAATCTTTTTATAAATTTTCTCAATTAGAAAACATAAAAATAATTTTTCAATGCTTTTTTAAAGAATTTGTTTTTTGCTGTGCATGGTGGCCCACGCCTTTAATCCCAGCACTCGGGAGGCTGAGGCAGGAGGATCACTGTGAGTTCGAATCCAGCCTGGGCTACATAGTGAGTTCCAGGTCAGTCTCAACTACATAGTGAGACCTTGTGCCACCCCCCCCAATTTGTTTTTCTGAGACAGGGTCTCACTGTGTAGCCTGGGCCGGCTTTGAACTCATGGTGATCCTCCTGCCTAGCTTGCCTTAGTGCTGGGATTACAAGCATGCATCTGTGCACTACAACCTGGCTTAAATGCCTTCCTTATGATGGAATGAGTCAGTGTTTAACATGGTTGCCTTGTTTTCTATTTTTAAGCACGCAAGTGCTGATAAATAAGTCAAAGAAACTATAAGGAGTTTTGTAATACAAATGCCATTCAATTTTTTGAATTCTTTTTTTTCAGCTTTTTGAGACGGGAATTTGCCATGTAGTGCAGGCTAGCTTTGAATTTACTATATAGCCCAGGCTGGGCTCAAACTCATGGTGATCCTCTGGCCTCAGCTTTCCAAATTTTTGCAGTTCTTTTCAAAATATGCTAAATATCACACAGTGGCCTATTTTAGAAATTAGTTTTAATCATCTGTCAACCAACAATTCACTTTCCTTTGTTTTTTCCTTTTGGTGTTAATTACTATATTCTAATAAAAGAGCACTAAAAACCATTTTATTGAGCATTTAACATTGATTATAAATTTGACTATTTAGTTTCCTTAATTAGTTTAGGTTCCTGTTACAACTTTAGTAAGATTAATTCATTTGAACTTAAATAGAAAAATGTATATTGCTTTAAAATGTATTATCATATGATAATATTTATCCCCTATCGCATCAATATCGTGACATTAATTCATTATTTCTAGGCTTGATTTTATATTTTCTATTGATATTATGCTTGCTTTAGTTAGTTCCTAGGTTTTTAACATTTCAGTTATTTCCAAGGTTTTAGCCATCATGACTCTTCTCCTAAAACAAAATGAACAAGAAGGATTATTGTATCAGAATAGCTGTAGTTGATTCTTGGTCAAGATCTGATATGGTTAATTGGATCTTGAGTCACACTGATTATTAGATTCAGACCTTATTTATTTTTGTTTGATTGATTGATTGATTGCTTGATTTTTGAGACAACTTGCTGTAGTTTAGGCTGTCTTGAACTCAACTGTGTAACCCAGGCTGGCCTTGAACTCATGGCAGTCCTCCTGCCTCAGCCTCCTAATGTTGGAATTGAAGGTATTTGCCACCATGGCTGGTGAGAACTTTTTTCTTTTTGTTTTTGATTTTTTGAGACAGGGTCTTGCTAGTCTGGCCTTGAACTCACTATGTAGCTGAGGCTGGCCTCAAATTCATAGTCATCCTCCTGCCTCAGACTCCGTAGTGTGTTGGGATTACAGGTGTGTACCACCATGCCCAGCCTGGCAAGAACTTTTTTATAATAAAGTGTTACTACTTATTATTTCATGGGAGTTCTAGGTTTCTGTCTTTTAAATTTTTTTGTGCACATGATGATCATGTTCCTTGTAGGGATTTGGTGCTTGTACCCTGTGGCTGAAGCTTTTTAAATAACTTTATTGGCTCATTTGAAATGATGTCTTCTTATAGAGTGATCTGCCTCGGGTCAAAACAGAGATTGACGCCTTGAAGAATCTGAGACACCAGCATATATGTCAGCTCTATCATGTACTAGAGACAGCCAAGAAAATATTCATAGTTCTTGAGGTTAGTAGTATGTTCCAGATGCCTAAAAGTGTTTAGTCACTTTATCCATAGTTGAGAGAAAATTACATGTCACCTAAAAGATTAGAATGAATAGTAAGTAGTTTACTTGAGTTCTGGCTATAACAATTTAGATTGTAAAGTAGACATATACAGTATAATAAAGGGGAGACTCATTGTAAGTGTACTCTTTCTGATAGTCCCCCTAATGGAGTGGTATAGTTTAGAGGATTGCATATGTTAAAATTTGCTCTTAAAAGAAGGATTCATTTTAATTTTATAATTTTAATTTTATGTTCCTAAGGCTAACAAATGACTACATATAACTTTACTGGAATTACTATGTCTGACTCTTTCTCCAGAGTTGAGGGAGAATCTGTTTCAGTGCTCTTTCCTGGTTCTTGGTGGTTGCTATTAATCTTGTGCTTTGGTTTTTTTGAGACAAGGTTTTGCTCTGTAATTCAGGCTGGACTTGAGCTCACTATATAGTACAGGCTGGCCTTGACCTTGTGGTAGCTCTCCTGCTTCTGCCTCCAAAATTCTGGGGTTATAGACACGCACCACCACAACTAGCAGTTGCTGGCAATTTTTGGTGTTCTTTTGCTTACAGATACGCCACTCAGATCTGTGCGTCCATCTTCAAATGTCATGTGCCTCTCTGGAGTGTCTGTGTCTCTGTCCTGATTTCCCTCTTATAAAAGATCCAAGTCACGGGGTTAAGGCCCACTCTAATGTAGTATTCCTCTTAAATCAATTACATACACAAAGACCTTCATTGTAAATAAGCTCTCAATCAGAGGTACCAGTGTTAGGCTTTGAATACATCTTCTAGGGAGTCAGCCCCAGGGAAGTCTCTAATGCAAATGCTATGCAAACCAATTTTTTTTCAAGTTTTAACGTGTCCCTTTTTGGTATGAAACATAAATGTTTTTAGAATTTGAATTACTCATCTGTTTCCTTTCCTTAATCTCAGCGTAATGATCTGTAACTATAATATTTTCACAGATCAGCACTGTTTTAAAAGCATATTTTAGAATGTATAGAGTTGAAAGTTTTGGATCTAGAACTATTTTTACTTTACCACACTGTACTACCTTCATAATCTACAATGGGTTTTTTGTTTGTTTGTTTGTTTTGTTACTAGGGATTTAATGTGGGTCTTTGCTCTTGTGAGGCAGGCTGTGGCACCACTGAACTAAATCCCTGGTCCAGTCTACAATGAATGGTTTTAAAACTTTTTTCTTTTGATTTGGGGGTATCGCTTTGTTACCCAGTTTGGCCTTGAACTCTTGCATTTAAGCATTGCTCCTGCCTCAGCCTCCCAAGTAGTTTACTTGAAATAAAATCCTGAACTATTCATGAACCTTGGACAAAATTTAAAAGATACAAGAAGGTATATATTAAAAATAAAAATCCTCTTTTCTCCTGTATCCCAGCCATTGACTCTTTTTATGTCTCCTGTAGTTACCAATGTATAATTTATAAATGTGTGTTTGTGTACATGTGTAGTTTATTGGTTTCTGTCACACAAATGGTCACAGATTGGAATATCACTATCCTTTTTTTTCTCTCCCACTTAACATTTTAATTTTGAAACCATTTGTGTACATCATAGAGATTTTAGATTTTTTTCCTTTATTTTATATTTATTGGAAAACATAAAGAAGGTTATTTTCTTTACATACATATTACTGGGTAGCTTAAAAATTTTCTTTGGCTGGGGTCCGGGGATTTAGCTCAGTGGTTCTGTTACCTGCCTCGCAAGCGCAAAGTCCCAGGTTCAATTCCCAGTACTAAAAAAAAAAATTTACTTTGGCTATATAATTTACATCTAATAAAACACACATTGATATACAGTTTGACAAATGTATATTAATTTATTTCCCACCCCATTTAATGTATAAAACATTTTCATCATCCTACTTGTGCCCCATTAAATTAATCCCTATAGCTGAGCCTGCCCTGCCCATCCTAGCATCCACTGGTCTGATTTCTGTCACCATAGATTATTTTACCTGCTCCAGAATCTGATGTAAATTAATCTATAATACTAGGCTATACTCTTGTACTCAGTATGCTTTTACAAATTGGTATAATCTTTTTTCCCCCATTAGGTTTATTTGCACATTTAAATAATAGTTACATTTATCATTGGAATCTTGCATCTTTACATGATATGTCTTGGTTCTTATTTTTCCCCATACCCCTCCCCTCCCTTCACCCCCTTCACCTTTCCCTATTTACAAAGACTTTGTTTCCATTTTTCACATTTTTTAAAAAATTTTGAAACAGGTCTCACTGAATGACACCCACACGTGCCCGCTCTACTGAATCTGTCAATTAAGTCTAGAAGTCTTTTGGCAGAGTTTTTTGGGTCTTCAATGTACAGTATCATATTATCAGCAAATAATGACAGCTTAACTTCTTCCTTTCCTATCTTTATTCTTTTTACTTATTTCTCTTGTCTAATTGCTGTGGCTAATGTCTCTAGAACTATATTGAACAGGAGTGGTGATAGTGGACATCTTGTTCCTGATTTTAGTGTGAAGGTTTTCAGTTTTGAGCTTTTAGAATGATATTGGCTGTTGGTTTTTCATAGATAGCCTTTATCAAATTGAGATAAAGGCTGGGCATGGTGGTGCACACCTGTAATCTCAGCACTCGGGAGGCTGAGGCAGGAGGTTTGCTGTGAGTTTGAGACCAGCCTGAACTACATAGTGAGTTCCAGGTCAGTTTCAACTACATAGTGAGACCCTGTCTCAAACAAAACAAAACAAAACAAATCCCCCAAAACGAAAACAAAACAAATTGAGATAAAGACCATCTATTCCAATTTTCTGTAGGGTTTTTATCATGAATGGGTATTGAATTTTGTCAGATGCTTTTTCTGTATCTATTGAGATGATCATATGGTTTTTGTCCTTCACTCTGTTAATACAGTGTATTATATTTATTGATTTATGTATGTTGAACCATCCTTGTATCACTGGGATAAATCCAACTTGGTTAGGGTGTGTGATCTTCTTGATGAGCCTTTGTATTCTGTTTGCCAGTACCTTAATTGAGTATTTTTGCATCTATGTTCATTAGGGATATTGGCCTGTAGTTCTCATTTGTTGGTTGGGTCTTTCCCTGGTTTTGGAATGAAAGTAATACTTGTTTTCAGGAATGGATTTGGAAGTATTGCTTCCCTTTCAATTTCATGGAAGAGTTTAAAGAGTAGTGGCAATAGTTCTTATTAACCGTCTTGTAGGATTCAGTAGTGAAGCCATCAGGACCTAGGCTTTTCTTTTTTGGTAGTGTTTTAATTACATTTTCAATTTTACTGACTGTAATTGGGATGTTTAGATTTATTATATCTTTGTTCAACTTTGGAAGTTTGTATGTATCTAGAAACTGTCCTTCTGTATTTTCCATTTTAGTAGAGTACAGGTTTTCAAAGTAGGAATTGATAATACTCTGGATTTCTGGTGGATCTCTTGTGACTTTACCTTTTTCATTCCTAATTACATGGATTTGAGCCTTTTCTTTGCTTTTTTTTGATGAGGTTGGCTAAGGGTTTATTGATTCTATTTATTCTTTCAAAAAACTAACGCTTCGATTCATTGATTTTTTTTTTTGTATTGTTCTCTTAGTCTTCATTGCATTAATTTCTGCTCTGATCTATATAATTTCCTGCCTCATATGAGCTTTTGGTTTCTCTTGTTCTTCTTTTTCTAGAAGCTTAAGGTTAAGCATTAGGTTGTTTATTTGAGCTCGCTCAGTTTTCCTAGTATGGGCATTTACTGCTATGAATTTCCCTCGTAGAAATTGTGACCCATAGATTCTTGTATGTTTAATTGGCATTATCATTTAATTGTAGAAACTGTCTAATTACTTCTTTAATTTCCTTTGTGACCCGATGGTTGTTCAGCAGTGTGTTATTTAATTTCCATTTGTTTGTGAAGTTCTTGCAGTTCCTTAGGCTATTGATCTCCATTTAATTGCACTATGGTCTGATAATATACAGGGGATGACTTTAGTTCCTTTGTATTTACTTAAGCATGTTCTGTGAGCTAGCATGTGGTCTATTTTGGAGAATGACCTGTGTGAAGCTGAAAAGAATGTATATTCTGATTTTGTGTTGTGGAACACTGTAGACATCTACTAAGTCTATTTGTTCTAAGACTTGGTTCAGTTTTGTTATTTTGTTGTTGATTTTTTTGTCTAGATGATCTGCCTATTTGTGTCAGTGGAGTATTGAGATCCCCCACTACAATTGTATTCGTGTTTATTTCGTTTTTCATTTCCATTAATATTTGTATCGTATCATTGGGGGCATTAGTATTTGGTTGATATATATTTATGATTGTCATACTAAGAGGTGGGACATTTTGGAGTAGGGCTCTGCATTCGTGAATGGAATTTGTGTCCTTATAAATGAGACTTGAGGGAACTTTTTGTTTCTGCCATATGAGGATGCATACATAGCAAGTGCTATGTATGAGCAGTTTTTTTTTTTTTTTTTTTTGAGGCAGGGTCTCACTATGTAGTTCAGGCTGGCCCTGAATTCATTATGTAATCTGGGCTGGCCTTGAATTTACAGTAATCCTGACTCAGCTTCCCCAGTGCTGAGATTACAGACATGCACTACTGTACCAGCTCAGCTGACACTTTGATCTTGGATTTCCCAGCCTCCATAACTATATTTTCATTGTTTATACAAGCAGAAGGTATTTTGTGTAAGTTAGTTTGTGATAGACCACAAATAGGCTAAGGCATTTGTTTCTGTGTTTTGTTTTTATGAACAATGTTGCTTCATTAAGTTATTGTTAATGTGCCTTAGTTTATTTTTTTTAATGATAGCAAATTTTTATTAAAGATAGAAAAAGAAACAGGCTCCGTAGAGTGAGTTTGGCCCAAGTAAGACTAGGAAAAGAAGTATAGCGAACCCTCAAGTTAAGACTGACCTGACATACAAACAACTTGGGTTAATTAGGTTAATGGAAGGTTTATCTGCCTCTTGTTACCTATAGTGTGTACCCAGGTAAACATCCAGATCTCAGCTGTATTGCCTTAGTTACAACCAGCCCTTGGGAACTGATGGAATTCGTGGTCAAGGGTCCACTGTACACCCCACAGCATGAGGGTGGGCCACGGTGCAAGAGCAAATACAGTGGGCATTCATCTGTTTTGATGTCACGTCTACAAGAATAATCTAAATGTGAAACTATGAGGTCAAAGGCTATGTGCATTTTTAATTTTCGTATTGCTAAAATAAGATGAAATTTTAAATTGTAACCAAGTGTACAGAAACATGTAGTTTCTTTGGAAAGGGGATGAAAAACCTAGAGCTTTGTGCTCTGTCACCTCCTTACCCCACAAACTCAGGCACCATCATCTAACTGGGCCCCTCCTGATGCAGACTGAAAATCACTGGTCTTTGGACAGTAACCAGTAATAATTCCTGGAGAACGATCATTACTGCTTTTTTTTTTTTAATTTTAGGTACTGTACTAGATGTAAATACATTAAGATGAGAATGGATTTTAGTACTGTGCTATAAAAATATAAAACCCTGAGGGAGCTTTCAAAAATCACAGTGGTTGTTAGTTCTACTTCTGTTTATTGGTAATAAAACTGTTTAAGGGAAGAGTTATTGTTCTCATTTCAAGAATAATTATTGACTTGCTTGATCCAGACAGTGTATTTTTTAATATGCTTACTCAGTTCCCTTGCCTTTAAAGTTGAATTAATAATACCTCTGAATTTAGTATAATATTTTAAAATCTTTTATTCCTTGGAAATGATTTCTGTAAGATGTAACAATGTCTGTGTGACTCTTCCTGTTGAAGTACTGTCCCGGAGGAGAGCTTTTCGACTACATAATTTCCCAGGATCGCCTGTCAGAGGAGGAGACCCGGGTCGTCTTCCGTCAGATAGTAGCTTCAGTTGCTTATGTGCACAGCCAGGGCTATGCTCATAGGGACATCAAACCAGTAAGTGACCCTGTCACACTTAAATGCTGACCTGAGAGTTCAGCACCATCTACCTGTGAACCTGTTTTAAGGTTTCCAAATGTTTTGCTTAGGAATCTTAGCTCTGGTGCTGCTGCTTTGGTTTTCTCTTCTTCCTTCTCTTTTTGCATCCCCTCTCCTTCTCTTTCTTGTTCCATTCAGAATCTGTCACATTTCTTTTTCTTTATTTTTTTCCCTTTTGGATTTTGGTGAGCTTTGTGGATGGATTAGTGTATTAGTCACTTCATTATTGCTAGGACAAAATACCTGAGACCTGTAAATTAAAGGAAGAGTGGTTTATTTGGCTCACAGTTTCTAGTGGGTTCTTTTGTTTTTGAGACGGGGTCTCACTATGTAGTTGAGACTGACCTGGAACTCACTATGTAGCCCAGGCTGGTCTCGAACTCACAGTGATCCTCCTGCCTCAGCCTCCCGAGTGCTGGGATTACAGGTGTGTGCCACCATGCCCAGCTTCTAGTGGGTTCTGAGGCAGAAAAGGCATGACAGGAGGGTGGTGGAGGACAGCTGCTTGTCTCATGGCGAGCAGGAGGTTGAGGGGATTGGGAGGAGGAACTGGGATCAAGAACACACCTTTACAGGTCACACGCCCAGTGACAACCCCCACTTGCACTCAGGCTCCACCTCCTAACTAATGCAGCACTGAACTCATCTTTACTTATGAGTGTAGGGCCCCTATGATCCAGACCTTCCAAACACATGAGACTTTGGGGGACATTTTAGATCTAAACTGTAACAGTGTTCTGTATCTGTCATTTATATGTGACATTACAAATGTCTTTCTGATCCAGATTTCATCTCTAGGAAATGTCATTGAATATGTTCTGTTCAGTGCTCTTTGTCTAACCTCAGGTTCCTTAATTTTAAATACATTACTCCTTAGAAAGAAACAGTTTGATGAAATTGGCAGACTTCATTTTTCTTTTTTTCTTTTGTATGGTTGTATGCAAGTATGTATGTATGTGGGTTGGTAGTGGGGATTAAAGTCAGGATCTTTGCACTGTGCTACATCCCTAGCCCTCCTTTCCTTTCCTTTCCTTTCCTTTCCTTTCCTTTCCTTTCCTTTCCTTTCCTTTCCTTTCCTTTCCCTTCCCTTCCCTTCCCTTCCCTTCCCTTCCCTTCCCTT